CGGCACGGTGGCTCGACGACATGTACAGAGCCAGCGTGGCTGCAGACGAGATCGCGCACAACACCGTCCTGAACGCGTTCGCCAGATGCGGCAATCTGGTGGGGGCTCACCACTGCCTGCACGGCATGCGCGCGGTGCGCCTGCGTCCGGACGAGTTCTCCTACACGCCGATGATCAAGGCGTGCGCAGACCAGGCGAGGGGCACGAGACGCACGCCTGCCCCATTCCCCCTTGCTGGGCGACGGGATCTAAACATATCCACCGCCCCTGGACAGGCGATCCTGGGCCCAGGATCGGTGCACATGCCTCCTTGGCCAAGCCATTTGGTGTCTGTACACCGATCCCCTAGCCCAGGATGGGCTGGCGAAGGTGGCGGTGTATACCTAGATCTCGCCGCTCTACCGTGGAAGACAGGTGGGATGGTGGCAGCGAAGGGGGCTCTCGGAAAGGAGGATGGGACAAGCGGACCATCCCCAGACATCCGCGGATCCGATTTCTTCCATCCGCGGCCCCAGAGGCTTGTCCCGAACCCCTTTTTCTGGTCCCCGGGGCTCGAAAACGTGCCCCGAAGGCCGCAAGGGGAGACACACCGCAGGTTGAACAGAGTCAGATCGTCGGAGGTCTGGGTCTCTGCTCTCCGACAGGGCGACCCCGCTGGCGCCTGCCGCTGGCTCGCGGAGATGGCGTCGGCGATGCTCACGCCCAGCCACGTGGCCTACACCGCCGTGGTGAGCAGCTTCGTAAAGAGCGGCGACCTGGCGGGCGCCTCGAGGGTGCTGCGGGACATGACGGCGTCAATCGGCGGGGACACCGCCGCCGCGAATGTCGTCCTCAACGGTATGGCTGCAGGTGTTGAGGGCAGCTTCTGCCCCCTTCTCCCCTTCCTCATTCCTCCGCCCCCTCCTCCCCCCCGTTCTCCTCCTCCTCCTCCTCTTCCACCACCTCCTCCTCCTGTCGCTGTCGCTAACGGCAATAGATCCGAATGCGGTGCTGCCCGCCCCCCCCCCCATGGCGGACATCGCCGCTGGGAGGGTTGAACAAGAAACGCAAGGTGAAGGGAGCAGTGGCCCCGCCCTCTGGGCGCCGTCTGCGCTCGACCATCGAGGCTGGGCCACAGGCTTACTCCGCAACCGGTGTTCTGTTTAACATCCTTTCCCCTCCTATTCTGTGTGCCTTATGTGACAGGCATGCTCTCCACTGCCATTTTGGCTTGCGGGGGACTGGTGTGCCCAGGACTGCAGTGAATCTCGGGGGCTCCCGAGCGTGCCCAACGATAATCCTCGATGTTCGATGTGATCTCTCATACTCCCATGCCAGCCGACAATGGTAGCTAGAGCGTGGACGAGGCCGCAGGGGAGCAGGAGGGCATCAACGGGCAAGGCTCGCAGGGCGCTGCGGGTGGCGCTCAGTCTGAACAGCAGCCAGTAGCGCATGGGTGTCGACGAGACCCAGCCGTCGACCAGTTCGGCGGCACAGAACCGTGGGAACAGCTCTTTACTTCTACCACGACAGCGTCGGCGGCAGCCACCGACATGTTCTCAGGACGGAGCCGCGGCCAGCTCGACCTCCTGGGCGAACCCCGACTGGTGGACGTCAGGCTGGGAATGGCGGCCAGAATGGAGTTGGAGAGCATGGTCATGGAGCGAGTCGTGGTCCCGCCTAGAGAAAGATCGCGACTCTCCACCTGGACTATTCCGCACCACCGCCATGGCTTTGGATGGGACACTAAAGGCTTTACACTTCCAGCGTCAGCTCCTGGCAGGCAAGGGCCGCATACAAGCCCGACGTGCAAGCGGGCCGAGTTCTCGAGACGTACCCAGTCTAGCTGCAGCTCAAGTTCCAGGCGGTCGGGAGCTCTCTAGATTCTTCCGAGGGCCTCTCCCACTTGATCGAGCACCTGCAGCTGGTCAAGGTGCAGCGTCCAGGAGACCGGGAGAGAAAGGCCCAGATCGAAACCATGTTCGATTCTGCCATGAAGAAGGGTAAGACCTCTACGGATTTCATCGTCAGACGAGAACCAATTAGCGACGGCTGAGAGGATCGCTCGGTTGATGTTGTCCGACTTTGTAAAGGCGAGGTGCTACGAGGAGGGGTCCGGTTTGCCGGCGGTTTCACTGGGCGAAATCGAGTCCATTTGATGGCTATGTTGAATGGAAAGAAGAATTTCCAGTCGGTCTAGAGCGCGGTTCTGGAGCTCGACGTGTCATAGCAGGGTTTCCTACCGAAGGCGACGACGACGACGAGCTCGAAGCCGAATTTCATGACCACATCGGGTCAAATGGTCAGTAGTTTCGTGGACTACGCCGAGGATCAAAAGGACCTCGACGAGAAAGACGACGGAGCCCAGTGCACGGGTATATACCAGACCGAGTATGACGAGGACAAGCTCACCGCGATCCTGGTGCCTTTGGACCCATGCTTCCCGGCGCCAGCACAGGCCGCCCAATCTTCGCGAGCGTGGGCGTCGCGACGGCCATCCCGAGCCTGCGCCGCCAGTGGGTGTGGCAGGTGCTGCGCCGCAGTGGAGCTCGAGGCAGCACGTTCACCGCCCTTTTCTAGTGTTGCCACTTCCCGCTGGTCTTCTTGGAGCTGGGCGGGGAGCGGCGCCATTTGCTGATGGCGACCTCTGGCGTTGCCCAACTTTGCCCGCTGTCGGGGGCCATCCGGGCCATCGTGTTTGACCCGCTGGTGAAGGGCGTATCGCGTGAGCTCCGACGGCTGCAGAGAGGCCTGCTTCGTGCGTGCGCAGATGATTTAGGCGTGATTTTGGGTGCCCTCCGCGATCTCGCCGCCCCGCACCTGATCGCAGCAGAGACTTTGGCGGGCCTCGAGCTCCAGGCGAAAAAGTGCGTGATCGTCCCTGGCTAGACACCGCTGCAGCCGTCTCTCATCGAGGAGTTCCCTGCCTACTTGGCCTCGATGCACGCCCCGTGGCGAGATTTCCACATCGAGGCGATGGCGAAGTTCTTGGGCGTCTGCGTAGGGCCTGGGGCTAAGCGCGAGATTCAATGGCTTGGCCCCAGTCTGACATGGTGGGAGCGTTCGCAGTTGCTGGGGGCCTCGCACGCCTCTGCAGGCGGGCATTCGATTGAAAGTTCCGCGGCGATCACCGCGCCGAGCTACGCGGGCCAGCTGCCCCCCCGGTCGCGCAAGATACTGGAACGCGAGATCCTCGCGATTCACAATTCCTGCGAGCCACCCCCCCCCAGCTTCGCAAAGGCAGGTATTTTCTATGTTGGTGGATGGGGGGGCTTCGCAGTGCCTCGGAGCGTGGAGGCGCATCTAGCGGCGACGTCGCGGAGAGCAGCGTCGTCCACCATGCGAGGGTGGAGAGCTGCGCACAGTGCTCTAGAGGCTACCGCGCAGGACCACCTGGAAGCGACTCGCTTCGCAGCCCGCTAGTGGCGTGCACCGTGCTGGGCCGACGAGCATCCGATCGCATGCAATCTCTTCCACGCAATCGGCAGGAACGACTTCGTGCGGGGGAAGGGCTCGGTGCGCAGGCGGCGCGCTCAAGCGCGTGGCCGTGTTGGGGCTGCCGATTGCTTTCTCCGCCGCGCCCACCGCATTGCCGCCATGCGTGGCAAACGAGCGTTGGCCGCCCGCGAATTGAAACGCAACGTCCGGGGACCAGCAGGGGAAACGCAACGCCCAGGGATTGACGTGACTGCTGAGGGCCCCAGCACCAGTGGGAAGACGCCGAGCCCCCTGCAGGTATATATGCGCACTCTGACCAGCCACTGCTTCCCCGACGAATTCGGGCTGACCATCCGCAAAAGGCTTCAGGCTTGTACCGGTCTTCAATTTCATGTCCCTGCAGATTTTCGGCGCCGTTGGCGTGCTGCTCGCGAAGTTCGGCAACAGCTCCCACCGTCTAGAGTATGGCTGGCACTGATAACATTGGCGGAGAGTTGGGCTACTTCCTTTTGCATGTATGTGGTGCCAGAGCAGAAGACATGCCGATTCAATTGCTACCAGTGCGACGACTCCATTGACCACTGCCTCCGCTGTCGCGCACTATGGCACCTTGTGGCGCTGTCCCGTGGTGTTCTTCATGAAGATGATCTTGTTCGGCTCGGATTCGGAGCAAAGAGTCAACATAGTGGGGAAAACGCTCGATTGGACGGCCTGACGCGCGTTGCCGTGATGTTTCGCTTGTTCCACCACTTCAAAAACATGGGGACATTCGCTGTTCCTCCTCCTCCTCCTCCTCCTCCTCCTCCTCCTCGTCATCCTCCTCTCCCTCCTCGCTTTCTTCCTCTCCTCCTGGATCACCCCCCAATCGATCGAGGGTAGACAGTCAACCTCCCAAGCCCGTATTCCTGCCCCTCCTCCCCCCTTCCCGCTGCAACGCCAGAGGTGGTGATGTGGAGAGTGCAACCGGTATGCTTGAAGAGATGGTCATGCAGCGGCTCGCCCCAAACGTGGTTTCGTTCACTACCCTACTGAACCACTGCGGGAAGAGGGGCGACACCGCGCGTGCGGCGAGGCTCCTCGAATCCATGACCAGCGCTGCGGTGCCGCCGAACGTCATCACCTACAACGCCCTGATCAAGGTCCACAGCCAATCTGGTGACACGGAAGGTGCGGCTGGCTGGCTGGAGGGGATGCGCGCCGCGAGGCTAGCACCAAATGAGATATCGTACACAACCCTGATCGCGGCATACAAGAGGTCTGGGGATGTGCTGTCGGCAGTGAGCACGATGTGCGACATGGTGGACGCCAGAGTCATGCCCAACCAGATGACCTGGACCGCGCTCATCAAGACCTGCGAGATAGCCGGAGACGCTACGTGGGCAACCGTGGTCTTCAGGCGCATGGTTGAGCTCCAGGTGCACCCTGATGGCTACACCTTTGGGGCCCTGGTTTTTGCTGTCGGTGCTCAGCAGGCCGAGAAGCTCCGGACGGAGACTGGCGCCATCACGGAGGGGCGGAAGACAGTCCGGAAGACGGGTGCACACCTTCGTCAAAGGCCTGGGAGTGCGCTTCATAGACGGTGATGTCACCTCGGGCGCCCCCAGCCACAACATCCATGCCGTCGCTGTCGTCATGGTCTCGTCTCAACCATTATCGCCACATGTAGTTCTTATCGTACTGGTCGCGACCGTGACGTGCGCGTAGTTCCTATCGTACCGAGGGTAATCACACATACATGCGTTTCCAATCGCATCGACTGCACACACACACACACATGCTCATGTAGTTTCTATCGGAGGTTGTTTATCGGTCGCCACCGCCGCGAAGACACGGCCGTTGCTCTCACTGCGCTGGATGCAGCCCCCTCATTTTCACTCGCGCCTCCACCCGTGTCGCTCCACGAACACCTGACATTCTGGATGGGCCATTCCCCCGAAACGGCCAGCAGCTCTGGGTCCCTCCGTGGCCTGGTGGAGGGCGCGGGGGGGAGGGCCACTGCTCGCTCCCTCGCCCCGTGGCCCCCGTAGCCAGCTCGCGGTGCCCCTGGTTACCCCATTGCGGAGTGTGCGCTTCGATTTCTAACCCGCTGGCCCGTGGCCTTTTCATGAGATCCGCAGGAAGTCACGACCTGAGCCCTACAGACCCAATGTTTCTGTGGCATGCCTTGAGCCAGATGGATCTGGGATGGCCCCGGGGCCCGACACTGGGCGAACACGCCTGGCATGACAATAATTGCGACGCCAGGATCTCAGGATTAGTCGCCTTGCGGCCCGTGTCCCGCTCGCTGCCCCCTCGTGGGGGTCGGGGACAACGATAGGGGGCACAGGCATCGGCGGGGATGCATCGACCTCGAATGGCTGATACATCGACGATGCATCGGTGAAATCAGGGCGATGTACCGACGATGTATAGACGATCCAAGGGGCGGTCTGCATCGACGATGCATGGGCATGCATCGACCATTCCATGTCGACACATGCCCCCCATGTTGCTGCCCCTTGCTGCCCCCTCGTGGGGGGGAGCACGGGCCCGCTGCCGGCTCGGCGACGCGCGTGGGCCTGTGGCACCTCGTGGAGCGGGGGCCAGCGATTCAGGTCCTCCGGACGAGGTGCCTCAGACAACGCAAATCCCTTCTTGGATCCCCTCCTATCCTCGGGACCCCATCCCTCAGGGCCCCATCTTTCGGCCACGCGCAGAGGGGGTAGGGGGAGGGGGGCAGGCTCCTCAGAAGGCGCGGGCCTGATCCTTTGGATGTAGAGCCGAGACGCCTTCTAAAAAGAGGCCTCCTTCTAAGAAGCCTTCCCCCCTCCCCCCTACCCCCTTGTGCGCGCCGCCAATTAGGACCACAACCCTCAGGGCCTCATCTTTGAACCACCGAGTGGAGCCGTGGGACCGTCCGCGCGGCCTCCCCGCGGCTGGCCGGGGCTTCTTGCCGACGGGTCGGATTCTAATGGCCGTCGGGCCCCGTGGCCTCCTCGCGTGGCGTGCGCACACGCGCGCGTCGTCGTCCAACCGCCGCCGCCGCCATCGCCTCTGCGGCCACCGCCACCCCCTCCTCCGCCGCAGCCGCCGTCGTCGTCGTCGTCGTTGTCGTGGTCGTCGTCGTTCGAACATTATCGTTGTCGTCGTCGTCTTCGATGTCGTCGTGTTTGTCGTCGTCGTCGTTCAACCGTCGTTGGACCGTCGCCGTCGTCGTCGTCGTCGTCGTCGTCGTCGTCGTCGTCGTCGTCGTCGTCGTCGTCAACGTCTTCGTCGTCGTTCGACCGTCGTCATCGTCGCCGTCGTTGTTCGACTGTCAAAGTCGTCGCCGTCGTTGTCGTCGTCGTCGTCGTGGTCAGTGTCATCGTCGTCGTCGCCGTTAGAATGCTGTACGTAGCCGTCGTTCGACTGTCGTCGTCGTAGGTTGTCGTCGTCGTCGTCTTTGTTGCAGTCGTCGTCGTCGTCGTCGTCGTCGTCGTCGTCTGTGTCGTCGTCGTTATCGTCGTCGTCGTCGTCGTCGTCGTTCGACCGTCATCTTCATTGTCGTCGTCGTCGTTCGACCGTCCACCTCGTCTTCCTTTTCGTCGTTCAACCGTCGTTCGACCGTCGTCGTCGGCGTGGTCGTCGTCGCCGTCGTCGTCTCTCGATTGTAGTCGTCGACATCGTCGTCGACATCGTCGTCGACGTCGTTTGACCGTCGTCGTCGTCGTCGTCGTCGTCGTCGTCGTCGTCGTCGTCGTCGTTGTGTGGCCCCCTCGCGTGATGTGCACGCGCGCGCGCGTCGTCGTCCAATCGCCGCCGCCGCCTCCGCCGCAGCCACTGCCGCCGCCGCCGCCGCCGTCGTTTGACCGTCGTCGTCGTTGTCGTTGTCGACGTCGTCGTCGTCGTCGTCGGAGGTCGTCGTCGCTCGTCCGATATCGTCGTCGTCGTCGTCCTCTTCGCCGTCGTCGTCGCTCATTCGGTTTTCGACCGTCGTCGTCGCCGTCGTCGTCGTCGTCGTCGTCGTCGTCGTCGTCGTCGTCGTCGTCGTCGTTCGACTGTCGTCGTCTTCGTCGTCGCCGTCCTCGTTGACGTCGTCGTGGTCGCCACCGTCGTCGTCGTCGTTGTCGCCGTCGTCGTCGTTCGACCGTCATCGTTGTCGTCGCTGTCGTCGTCGTCACCGTCGTGGTCGTTGCCTTGGCCGTCGTCGTCGTCGTCCTCTTTGTCGTCGTCCAACCATAGTTTTATCGTCGTTCGTTGGCGTCGTCGTCTTTCGACCGTCGGTGTCGTCGCCGTTAACGTCCTCGTTGTCGTCGTCGTCGTTCGACTGTCGGTCTCGCCGCCCGACCGCCGCTGCCGCGTTGCCTCCACCGCCGCCGCCGCCGTCGACTTCGTCGCCGTCGACGTTCAACCGTCGTCGTCGTTGTCGTCGTCGTCGTCGCCGCCGTCGTCGTCGTTGTCATCGTTGTTGCCGCCGTCGTCGCCGTCGTCGTCGTCGTCGTCGTCGTCGTCATCGTCGTTGTCGACGCCGTCAGCGTGGCTTTCGTCGTTGTCATCCTCGTCGTTCGACCGTCGGCGTCGTCGTCGTCGGCGTCGTCGTCGTCGTCCATCGACCGTCGTCGTCGTTCGTCTGTCGTTGTCGTGGTAGTGGTCGTCGTTGTCGTCGTCGTTCGACCGTCGTCGTCGTTGTCGTAGTCGTCGTCGTCGGCGTCGTCGTCGTCGGCATCGTCGCCGTCGCTCGACGGTCGTCGCCGTCGTCGTCCGACCGCCGCAGCCGCCATTGCCTGCGCCGCCGACGCCGTCCTCTTCGTCGGAAAGAGCGCGTTCTGTGGTCGCTTGGAGGGGGGGGGTTTGGCACCAGACCCCCCCCCTTCCCCTACTTCTCCTCTCTCCCTCTCCTCGGGCCAGCGCCGGCGTCGGCGGCGGCTGGCGGCGGCGGCGGGGGTGCTGGTGGTGGTGGTAGTGGCGGTGGTGGTGGTGGTGGTGAGGTGGTTTGTGGTGGTTGTGGTGGTGGTGGTGGGTTGTGCTGCTGGTAGTAGTGGTGGTGGTTGTTGCGGTGGTGGTGGTGTTGTGGTAGATTGTGGTGATGGTGGTGGTAGCGGTGGTGGGCTGTTGTATTGGTGGTGGTGGTGGTGGTGAGCTGTTGTGGTGGTGGTGGTGGTGGCTGTGGTGGTGGTGGTTGTGTGGTGGTGGTGTGGTGGTGGGGGGTTGAGGTGATGATGGTGGTGGTCGTGGTGGTTGCGGTGGTGGTGGTGGTGGCGTGGTGGTTTGTGGTGGTGGTGGTGGTGGTAGGCTGTGGTGTTGTTGGTGGTGGTGGTGCTGTTGGTAGTGGTGGTGGCGGTGGTGGGTGGTGGGTGGTGGGTGGTGGGTGGTGGTGGTTGTTGTGGTGGTGGTGTGGTGGTTTGTGATGGTGGTTTTGGTGGTGGGTTGTGATGATGTTGGTGGTTGTGGTGGTTGTGGTGATGGTGGTGGTAATGGTGTGGTGGTTTGTGGTAGTGGTGGTGGTGGTTGTGGTGGGTTGTGGTGGGTTGTGGTGGTGCTGGTGGTGGTGGCGTTTTTGGTGGTGGTGGTGGTGAGGTGATTTGTGGTGATGGTGGTGGTTGTGGTGATGGCGGGTTGTGGTGGTTGTGGTGGTGGTTGTGGTGGTGGTTGTGGTGGTGGCAGTGGTGGTGGTGGTATGGTGGTCTGTGGTGGCGGTGGTGGTGGTGGTGGTGTGGCCTTCGGCTCTTCCCGCCACTGTGTTTTGGCAAAGGGTCAGAGTTCTAATGGATGCCTCTTGAGGTCTCGTCAGAAGGGTCTCGGGGGCGTCTGAGGAGTATGCGAGGGCTCGATATGGCGATTTATGTGTTCCCTCTGCGGCCTTTGGGCCCTCACTGGTCATCGTCGCTGCGTCCCGGCCGTCGACGCTGCTGGCCGCCGCCAGCGCCAGCGCCGGCGCCGGCGCGGGGGTGGGGGGTGGGGCTTTGAACCCCCCCCCTCCCATCCTGGGCTCTCTCTCTCAAGTCATCGTCGCTGCGTTGGCGCTACGGCGGCCGCCAGCGCCGGCGCCGGCGCCAGGGGGGGGGTTTGGGAAGGGGGGGGGTAAGGGGGAGGAGAGTCTCCCTGGTTAGCGACGGCGCCGAGTGTTGGGGTGGGGGGGCCCACCCCCCTGTTTGAAACGCGCCGCCGAATGTTCCCAAGGCAAGCGCCCGAGAAACGCGCTCTCTCCTTCGTCGTCGCGGTCGTTCGACCGTCGTCGTCGTCGTCGTCGTCGTCGTCGTCGTCATCGCCGTCGTTCGACCGTCATCATCGTTTTCGTCGTCGTCGTTGTCGTCGCCGTCGTCGTTGTTGGGCAGTCGTCGCCGTCGTCGTCGCCGGAACGCGGCCGCCGCCGTCGCCTCCGCCGCCGCCGCGGTCGCCGTTCAACCGTCATCGTCGTCGTCGTGTTTGTCGTCGTCGCCGCCGTGATCGTCGTGGCCGCCGATGTCGTCGTTGTCGCCGCCATCGTCGTCAACATCGACGTCGTCGTCGTCGTCATCGTGGTCGTCGTCGTCGTCGTTTAACCGTCGTGGTTGTCGTTAATATCGTCGTCGTTGTCGTCGTTAGACTGTCGTCGGTTTCGTCGTTGCCGTCGTCGTTCGACCGT